TCAGAAAGACAGCCAAGAGCTAGAGGGAAGCAACTTTACCCTGAATCAGAACAAGCCACAGGAAGACTGTGAGGCATATGAAACTGATCAGATTTTAAAAGATTAGTCAGTTAGAGAAGTAGATACTTTCTGGGCTTCCTATAAAGGTGGAGCCCACAGAATTCTCTGATGGATGAGCTGTCAAGTGTTAGAAGAGACAAGTCAAAAATTTAAGATTTAAGATTCTTGGCTGAGCAACAGATTTACTAACAGGGAACAGATGCAGTAGGAGCTGGGTGATAGGAGGAACAAAATAGTGATTTCCATTTATGTTAAAAGTAATATGTCAGGCCTAGTAGGTGGGGTAGTCGATAAGGCACTAGATTCCCAGATGGCTAACTGTGGTTCAAATCCCAAACTCATACCAAGTACTTGTGTGTAGGTGCCCAAAATCCCACGAGGAGAATAGAGGAGAAGGAATTGAGGCATGGCTTTCCCCTCCTGAGGGGGCGAGGTGATTTCTCACTTTCTCTCCCTCTCAGTCTCTGTGTCTCAGGTGAACACATACACCCTCTGTTAAAATATATATATATATATGTCTAGCAGACATTCAAATACAGGTAAATAAAATCCCCAGAGGAGAATGGAATAGAAAGGATTAAGGCAGGGCCATTGCCCCTAGGGAGTGATTTCTCACATTCTCTTTTTCTGTATCTCTCTGTCTCTCTCTGGTGAGCACACATGCCCTATGGCAAATATCTTAAAAAGTGATAAAAAATAAATTGGGCAAATGAACTGAACAGATAACTCTCCAAAGAAGATTTATAATGGCCAAAAGCCATATGAAAAATGTTCAGTCTCTTGTCATTTTGAAAATGCAAAGTAAAGGCACAAATACCATTTAACCCTAGTAAGAATGGCTAGGATCAAAAAAATAAAGAATTAGAGCCAGTAGGTGGTATGGTGATTGAGATACTGGACTCCCACATGCCCTAACATGATTTAAGTCATGGACCTGGTGGCATGCTTTCTCACTTTTCCTCTCTCTCTTGCTCTCTCTCTCTCTCTCTCTCTCTCTCTCTCTGTCTGGTGAGAGTATATGGTCTCTAGCAAATTTTTATAAATAATAATAATAAATAAAATTTAAAAAATAATTCTTAAAAAAAATAAATAACAAACAACAAGTACTGGCAAGGCCGCAGTGTAAAGGGAACCCTCCTACACCGTTGGCTGGTGGGAATGTAAATTAGTACAACCTCTATGGAAAACAATGTAGAGGTTCCTCAAAAGACCTATAAATAGAACTACAATATAACTCAATAATCCTACTCCCTAATTTTGTACCCAAAGGACAGAAAAACAGTCAATTAGGAAGACACTTGCACATCTAAGTTTACTGCAGCATCATTCACAATTGCTTAGACATGGAATCAACCTAAGTGTCCAAATATGGATGTCTGGGTTGAAAAACGGTGGCATATATATACTATGGAGTATTACTCAGCCATAAGAAACAATGAGACCTTATCGTTTGATTCAAAGTAGATAAATGTAGAGAATTCAATGTTAAGCGAAGCGAGTAAACTTTGAAAGGCACAGAAATCCCCACTCTATATGTACCAAATGTCTGCACTCCAGGGCAGAAATGGAAAGATCCAAAGATACAGTAGTAGAAAGGATAACTGTAGATACCAGAGACTGTAAGGGAATGGAGTGGGTGGTAAAAAGTGGGTGGTAGGTAGTACATAGTAGAGGAGGATAGGAGGAGCGAAAGGAAGAAGCATTTAACAGATGAAAGAATGTAAACTTCTCTATAGGGAAAAAAAAAAGTCCTGTAATTTTAGTTCTGTGAAATTTTTTTTTTTTTTTTAAAGTAAGTGGGAACCAGCAGTTAGCGTAATGGCTATGTCTCTGGATTCCCACATAGTCGACCGCGGTTCGCGTCCTGGACCCGGTGGCTTAGAACTCACGCTGGGCGCGTGTGCGTGCATGCCCAAGATCCCAAGAGGAGAATGGAGGAGAAGGGATTGTGGCGTGGCTCTCCCCCCCGGGGGGGGGGTAATTTCTCGCTTTCTGTCTCTCTGTCTCTCTCTGTCTTTCTGGTGAGCATATGCACCCTGTAGCAAAAACCTCTCAGAAAAATTTTAAAAATAAAAATTAAAAAAAAAAGGAGATCAGATATTGGCAACAAACTTTTTCAAGGTGACATAAGGGACTTCAAACAACTCATGGAAAAATTGAATGAATTATAAGTTTATTCTGGTGCCAAAAATCTTTGAAATCCTTTTATAGTTTTTAATACTCATTTTCCATGGAGTTTTGAAGACCCTCCCTATGCTGCAAATCGACTGTTATCAAGATCAACTTAAAAAAGACTATAGATGGTGTGGTGGTTAAGGTGCTGGACTCCCACATGGCCAGCGGTGTGTTCAAGTCCTGGATCTGGTGGCTTGTTTCTCACTTTCTCTCTGTCTCCCTCTGGTAAAATTTTAAAATAATAATAATAAATGAAATTAAATAAAACAATTGTTAGAGACCAGCAGTTAGTATAATAGCTATGTCGCTAGACTCCCATGTAGTTGACCACGGTTCAAGTCCCATACCCAGTGGCTTAAACTCATGCCAGGCGCGTGTGCGTGTGTGCCCAAGATCCCGAAAGGAGAATGGAGGAGAAGGGATTGCAGCATAGCCATCCCCCCTGGGGGGTGATTTCTCACTTTCTGTCTCTATGTCTCTGTCTTTCTGGTGAGTGCACGTGCCCTATAGCAAAAACCTCTCAAAAAAAAAAAATTCTTAACAAACAAACAAACAAAAATAAAGATGTGGAATCCAGGATGGTTCTTTTTTTTTTCTTTTAAAAATGTTTGAAACATTACTGCATAAGTGTATACTATGGGAATGATACAGCCATGAGGGGAAAAAAATTTACAATGTAGAAAGGAACGGGACAATTATAGGAGTGATGTCCTTGAGTAGGCGAAAGGAGCTGGGATTCCCTAGAAAAAATGAAGGGTGACTCAGATGACAGCCGACATGCTTCAGCATCTCTGACAGGTCAGGAGAACACCTCAGGATAGAGGTAAGAGGTTAGCAAAGAGAAAGATGGGAATTGTCTTCATTTTCTCAGTAAATTAAGATTAAACATCAGAAAATCATTTATAGTTCGTAAATAATTATAGCTTTAATCATTACGTGTAGCAACAAATAAAACTAAATAATAAACAGTGTGAGCACAGAAAAACATTTCAAGTAATAAAATTATTAATAAAGGAATTACTACATAGTCTATTAAGGATGAGCATAATTATTATTAATTTTTAAAGATTTATTTATTTAAGTAATTAATCCATTTGTTATTATTTTTTTTTAATTTGACCAAAGAGAGGGACCAGCAGTTAGTGTAATGGCTATGTCGCTGGACTCCCACGTAGTCGACTGCGGTTCGTGTCCCGGACCCGGTGGCTTAAAACTCATGCCGGGAACGTGTGCGTGCATACCCAAAATCCCGAGAGGAGAATGGAGGAGAAGGGATTGAGGCGTGGCCATCCCCCCGGGGGGTGATTTCTCACTTTCTGTCTCTCTGTCTATCTCTGTCTGTCTGGCGAGCGCACGCGTCCTATGGCAAAAACCTCTCAAAAAAAATTTTTTTTTTGACCAGAGAGAGACAGAAAGAGAGAGAAAGGGAAAGCAAGAAAGCAAACTGCCAGGTTCATTACTCAAATCATAGTCAGCCATATGGGAAACTAGTGCCTTTGACCACTACGCCACCTGCCAGTTACAATTAATTTTTTTAATTATTAGGATTTTCACTATAAAGCATAATTTATTCATATATATAGAGAGTAATATATGTTAGATATTAATGAAGCCATATATTCCTCATTATGCACCTTTTCTGATGAAAAAAAAAAAAGAATCAGGAGGACCCATAGACCATTCTAAAGGTTAGAATAACTGAATCAATATTATTTCACAATCTTTGCCAGAATTTCTAAAACAACAAATAGATAACCATTTAATCATAAATTCAGTATTTTATCATATTTGGAATGTGATTTAAACTCATCTCAGTAGAGAAAACATAGGGATTGATTGAAGCACTGGACCATAAAGTTTTTCTGACCATAAAATTGGTTTTCAGCAGCTTGCTTTATTTATGCAGAAAAAAAAATCACTGAGGACATTCTTTCTGAAAGAAAAAATGACTTAATATTTTTTCTCTAAATTAAATACTATGTAGATAGAATAATATAGAGTAAAAGAAGTATAAATCACACCCAGCATATATAGCGTATCAATCTTAGGGCATTTTGTAAACATTTATCATGCAAAATTTCTGCAATCCCTGTCAAAATATAAAAGGCAACTTTAAACTATTAGATAATGCTATAAGTGGGACTCTTAATCTACAAACTCCAGAAATATATTTATCAGTAAAATCTGCATTCTTCTACATAAAATGCTTTAGTTTTGTTTGTCTTGCATGTATTCATTATTTTGTTTTTAGAAATATCTTGGCCTTTTTATTTCTTCCTTCCTATTCTCCCATCCTTAGAATAAGACCAAAAAGTGGGGCTGGTAAGTGACATGGTGGTTAAAGGCGCTGGACTTCCACATGGAGGACCACGGTTCAAGTCTCGGACCTGGTGGCTTGCTTTCTCACTTCCTCTCTCTCTGTCTCTCTCTGATCAAAATGGAAAATAATAATGATAATAATAATAAATAAAGTTAAATAAAATAATTCTTTTAAAAAAAGAATAAGACCAAAGTGTTCAGAGAGTGAAAATATTGTCATAACTATTAGAAATATAAAATAAAATTTACTCCTAACAAAACTGCCAATAAAATTACATTAATGTCCTTAATATGACCATAAGGTTCATGAATTACTTAGAATTACATACTAAAGAAGAGTATGTATCCATTTCAGAGAGAAAGTGCATAGAGTTTTTCATTTGTGTATACCAAGTGCTTAAGACCCATTACCACAGTGATGAATAGAATAATAGAATCCCCAAAACATAAACAGCATCAAAAGAGTAACAATTATTTTTCTGTCATGATAGCATACAAAGCATAGAATGTGAAAGGCAGGAAAAAGTCATCTAGATAGTAAGTCTCAAATGAGAACTTTCCCTCTGTGTTTCAGAGAGACTTAGGGAAATATTTGCCAACAAAGGCAAAGTTGTCTTAATTACTGTCAAAATGGAAAATACTGGGAGACGTATCACTATCATGACTGATCACTGATGAAGCAGAGTCCTTCGCAGAAAAACATTCTTTAGAAAAGTTTAGTATGAGCCCTGTGATCTCTCAAAGTAACGTAGAAAATATTTTATATGAATGTTAATCTTCCTATAATATACAATGGCTATTAAAGATCAAACTTATATTTTTATACCCAATTGTTTAATAATATTCCTTTAAAGAATGTTCAGAATATGAAAACATGTCTGGTGACATTATTGCTACAACAGTATAAGACATCATGCCTATTGATTTTCATAATCAATAAGTCATTAAAAGTTCAATTATGGGGCTGGCGGGTGGTGTGGTGGTTAAGGGTTCTGGATTCCCACATCGTTGACCATGGTTCAAGTCCCGAATCTAGTGGCTTGCTTTCTCTCTCTCTCTCTCTCTCTCTCTCTCTCTCTCTTTCTCTCTTTGTCTCTTATTCTGTCCCTCTCTGGTCAAATTAAAATAAATAAATAAAGTAAAAATTAGGTTAAATAAAATAATTCTAAAAAAAGTTCAATTATAATAACAAAATCTTTTATGTAAGTAATATTTGAAAATACACTTTCCACTTACTTCTGAAAGAATATAGGAAAAGAATCAATCTTCTGTGTGATTAGAGAAAGGCATGCCATTACATTATAAAACAATCAAATACTATTATATATATATATATATTTTTTTTCTTTTGGAGAGGTTTTCGCTATAGGGCGCACGTGCTCACCAGACAGATGGAGAGAGACATAGAGACAGAAAGCAAGAAATCACCCCCCAGGGAGGATGGTCACACCACAATCCCTTCTCCTCCATTCTCCTCTCAGGATCTTGGGCACGCACGCACACGCGCCCGGCATGAGTTTTAAGCCACCGGGTCCTGGACGCAAACCGCGGTCGACTACGTGGGAGTCCAGCGACATAGCCATTACGCTAACTGCTGGTTCCCGAAAAGAGTATATATTTAAGGCCAGCAGGTGGTGTGGTGGTTAAGGGCGCTGGACTCCCACATGGCCGACTGGTTTGAGTCCCAGACCTGGTGGCTTTCTTTCTCAATTTTTCATTTTCTCCCTCTCTCTTTATGGTCAAATTAAAATAAAGTTAAATAAAATAGTTATTTTTTTAAAAGTGTATAGGTTCATGGACCAGCAGTTGGTGTAATGACTATGTCACTGGACTCCCACGTAGTCGACCATGATTTGAATCCCAGACCCGGTGGCTTAAACTCACACCGGGCACATGTGTATGCATCCCCAAGATCCCGAGAGGAGAATGGAGGAGAAGGGATTGCAGCGTGGCCACCCTCTCTGGGGAGTGATTGCTCACTTTCTGTCTGTCTCTCTGTCTTTCTGGCGAGCACATGGACCCTATAGCAAAAACCTCTCAAAAAAAAAAAAGTGTATAGGTTCAATGTTATTAGCATTTCTAGAGAGGTGTTTATATAATCGTTTACCATTCAGACTGAAAGCAGTCAAGAGTTCTGGTCATTCCCATTTTGATCAGGAAATTGCAGAGAAAATCTTCTATTACTTCAGGTACTGCATGCCTTGACGGAAGGACTGTTTTCTGCTCCTGAAATTTAAGTGGGCAATTATTTATTCTGAAAGCATCAAAACTTTGATTGATGGTATTATATAGTTCTCTCATTCATTCATTCATTTTTCTTTCAACAGCTTTTTATTAGTGTTAAGTGCCAGGGTCTATTTTAATCACTAGGGCTAAAGCAATGATTTAAACAAATAAGACTCTGTCCTCAAATCTCATAGTATAGTAAATGAAGACAGAAGATAATAACTAAATGATAAGTTCATAGTATGACAGATGATATTAAGTACCTGGGGTACGGGGTAAAAGCAGATGATTTAAGATAGGGAGAGCCAGGCATAAGGCAGGTTCATGTGTGGAGCTGGGTTGCTACGTATGTCGGGTAGTGGAGAAAGAGTTCATTGATAAAGTGTCATCTGAGCATAAATTTGGAGGAGGAATTAGAAAGAATTATCCAGATATGAGTGAGAAAGTCAAAGACCCTGAGGCAAGGATGTTGAGTTGTTTGAAGAACAATAAGGAGGTCAGCTTACCCTTTCAATAACATGTAACACATTCTAAAAGGAAGAAAGAAAATATATACAACTTTTAAATCTTTTAATTATCACAATTAAAAAATACAATTTTGGGACCTTGAATTTTAAAAAACTATTATAGTTTAGATACAGTTTGCCCCGTAAACTTTCATGTGCTCTATGCAAGGTCACAGTGTAATGGAGTTGAGAGGCAGTGGTACCTCTGAAAGGTGGGCTTACCTTACTGGGTAGTGTTTGGACCATGGAGTTACTGCCTTTATGACTAGACTAATGCCTCTCACAGGGAAGCGTGTCTCACTCTTGAATGAATGGATTAGCTCCTATGATAGCAGGTGGTTATGAAAGTAAGATGGCTACTTACAAGTCACTCTCTCTTTGCATGTGCCTGCTTTCCTTCCTGCTTCTGTTACTATGTTGTGACATAAAACAGAAGCCAACCAATAACAGTCCCATGCACTCCAACCTTCTAGCAATCAGAATTGTGAGCCGAATAAACCTCTATTCATTATAAATCACCAGTATTAGGTATTTCTGTTTAGCAACACAGTGACAAAATAAAACAACCACAAAGGAAATGATGTGTAATGGAAGGACTTTGCATTTCCACAAGAGAAGTCAGTAAGTCTATCACCAACTAGACTGAGTGTCAGCTATCTGTTCCATTAAATAAAGGTTCTTACAACACACCTATGCCTATTTGTTCACACTGTCAATGCCTGCTTTGTACAGCTTGAGACAGCTGACAAGCTGCCACAGAAACCTGTGGCCCTCGAAAGCTCAAACATTTACTATTTGACAGAACTAGGCAGAACCTTAAACTAGAAACATTGAGGTATTTTTAGTAAGAAACATATAAAATTAGGGCAACCATAGAAACATATCACATAAGTCAGCATGCAAAATCAAGTATATGGTAGCTTCTTTAAAATATCAAAGCATCCTTGTCTCTTTTTTTTTGGAGAGGTTTTTGCTATAGGGCGCGTGCACTCGCCAGAAAGACAGAGAGAGACAGAGAGACAGAAAGCGAGAAATCAACCCCCAGAGGGGATGGTCACGCCGCAATCCCTTCTCCTCATTCTCTTCTCAGGATCTTGGGCACGCACGCACACACACCCAGCGTGAGTTTTAAGCCACTGGGTCCGGGACGCGAACCGTGGTCGACTACATGAGAGTCCAGCGACATAGCCATTAAGCTAACTGCTGGTTCCCGCATCCTTGTCTCTTAAGTCCATTCATTTATTTTTCCTCATTGGAAAGAAATCATTCATTTACCTTCTGATTGTTTGAATAAGCAGATCTATTTCTACCTACAGAGACTCGCAGTGGCCTTTCCTTCCTACTTCTCTTCCCAACACCAATGTAATGTTACATAACAGGTTACACAGAATGTACAAAATGTTTACATAGAAAAGCACTGAGAAAAGAGTGTCTTTATTGTCCTAGTTATTTCCAAAAGTGCTATACATAATGTAACAGATGTTTATTACTAGTAAGTTCATTCATAAGGACAATTATAAGGCAAATTTCAGGGACTAGAGAAGAATACTGTAGAGTTTTTTAATGATTTTTTTTTAAAGCTCAAGTACAAAATTTAGACTAATCTTTATAAGATTATTAAGAGATATTATTGGATCATTAGGAAAGTCATGACACATTTTTGCATACAAAAACATAGAAAAGTATATCATGACTTTCCCAACGATCTAATATATAACAATGTGCAAGACCCTATATCAAACATCATGAGAGATGCCAGAAGATCAGAACACAGTAAGCCTGCTTTCAAGTCTTTGCAGTGTGGTGGTTATCAGCACAGATTATATATACTTGTTAGGTGAGGGAATAATGCAGCTGGAAGTAATTACTCCTTATTCAGCCATAAATGAATACCAGCTTGGTTTTTTATGTCAGTAAATTCAAAAATGAAATTTAGGATAAGAAGGATGATAGTTGGAAAGAATTGGGAAAATAGAAGAGGAAGACAGGAAGATTGAAGGTGGGTGTATCTCTGCTTCCTAATGACACTTATGAGCTCCTCACAGGATGTTTGTAAGTCTGGTCACAACACACCAGGTTCCTGCTCTCCCAAATAAATGTTTCCTTTCTATCTTTGCCTAAAGTCATCTGGTGCACACACCTTGAAATATCCACACAGAGCAGGAATATAAACACCTTAATTTGCTATGGTTCTTATCTATATATTAAGATGCATAATCCTGCCAGTATATTTATGCCTTATCTGCACTCCTCTTGAGTCTTTACACAACACACACACAAGCACACACAGCATGCACATATATGTTCCAAGCTGTAATGTGACCATTAATCTCTCTTTTATCTTCACATATAATATTTGCTATATATATATATTTACTATACCATTATTTATATATATATATATAGTAAATAGTTCCCAAGAGCCAGGGTCTGTGAAAGGAGCAGGGAATTAAATATGAATGAGATGCAGTCCTGTCTCAAGGAATGGAAAGACCAGCTCAGTAAAATAAAAAAGAAACATTACAATACAGACACTCTTCTGTGATAAGGTTAGATTATAAAAACCTGTTCATGAGTCAGTGCAGATATTCTATACACAACTAATACTTACAGTTATCTAATTTAGGTTATACTTTTACCTCGATTACATATTATATACAAGTCTCTTTACAGCTATTTGACTAAATTATGACTTTAATAAAACAGCTCAGAATAAGCACAAAAAAATAAAGCACTCTATCAGTTAGTAAAATGTGCCTCATTGTGCAAATTGTCAAATTATCAAAAAAAAAATCTGCTTACATGTAACCCATAAATCTATTCAAGACAGAGGTGAATTTTAGAATGTGGTATCATTTTTATCTAAGAAAGTTCTAAAGTTGACATTTTCGAAATAGAAAGGCTTCTATATTTTGTTGGGATTGCAATGATAGAGATTTGCTAGGTAAAATGATACATAAAGGAGAAGAGTATTTCACTTGTCTCTGATAGATGAATGAAGGCTTCGTGGAGGAGACTCTTAAGTCAGACTTTATAGATGATGAGAAAGTTCAACAGATAAAATCAGACAGGAGGATATTCAAGGGAAGAAAAAAAATTGAGGCAAAAACAAGGAGAGATAGTTCATTCCATTGGGGCTCAGGGTCTTAAAAAGTAAGAACCAAAGATAAGGCTGGAAAGCTATACAGGATGCAGATCAAAAAAAGCGAAGGCAGATGAAAGGGCAGAGACATTGCAGATTTAAATAAAGAGATAAATTCAAATTTCTATTTAGAAACATCTTTCAGGTGGGAGTAAAAAGGAGCAGAGTAACCAACAGTGCATAGTAGCTCAGATGAGAAAAAACTGAAAATCTAAGTTACGCTAAGTAAGAAATGAAGGCAAAGAGAAGAATATGAGCGAGATTAAGGACATAAAAACTTTAAGAACTTAAAAACGAATTGAATGTTAAATTGCGAAGTATTTCTGAGCCATATATTAAAATCAAGTATCTTGCTATACTTGGAACTGTTCTTAAGTTAGTGAGCTGAAAATTAAAGTTGGATTAGTTGAAAAGTGATCTTGACCATCAGAAAAAAAAAATAATAATAAATTCCAAGTGGTATTATAATATAAAACATACTTTATTTGGGATTTAGTCTAATCAACTCCTTAATTCACTTTTAGTCAAATATACTGGTTTGGATAATCTATGTGCCAAACTTTAGGTACAAACACTTTGGTTCTTTACTTGAAATTAAAAGTATTCATCAAGAAAATGAGAATTCAATAATGACAAACAGCTTTTTTTATCTTTACTTACTAATCGTGCCTCTAAAAGTAATGAAAGTAGTTTTATGTATTTAATTCAATAACAGTATGATAAGTAATATTTAAAATAATGGCTCTATCCCTCATGAGGCCTGATGAAAATAATATAAATTTAATAATCCTATACTACCTTTTTGTTATACCAACAAAATTATTAACAAGAAAATATTTAATATTATTTTTAATCAATATATTTTTAAATATTTTAGAATATAATTTTATAACATTTCTCAAACTTTATATTCTTAGAAAATGCATGCTCTTAATAATTATTGAAGACTTCAAAGAGCTTTTGTGTATGTTGATTATATCTACAAGAGTTACCATATTAGAAATTAAAATTTTAAATATTTAATAAATTAACTATCATACAACTTTACATGATAACATAGATAAGTGTATTTTGATAAGAAATAACATCTTCTAAAACAAAAAATATAAGAATGGCATTGTTGAAAATTTTTGTAACTCTTTTTAACATCCATAGGAAACAGCTAGATCCCCATTTTTATTTCTGCATTCATCCTGCTGTGATGTTTTCATTGGTTAAAGAAAATCCAACCTCAAGCAGATGTGTAGTTGGGAAATGGAGAACAAAATAAATATTCTAAAGAATCTTGGAATCCTCAAAAAACTTCTCCACAATACTTTAAGAACTATCAAGAAATACATTAAACAACATTGTAGCTTGAGTCATTCCTTAATTAGCATTCTCTTAAAAATATGTGAATATTACAGAAATTATATCTTAAGTTTTATTTAAATTCTCAGAGAAGGAAAAGTTACCAATAGGAGAAGGAAAAGGAAGAGGAGGAAGAAGGGGAAGAAGAAAAGAAAGGGAAATACTGGGAATTTAACAAGTATGTGATTTGGGTGCCACAGTACTGCTATTTTACAGACCAAAATTCTATGTTATAAAATGTAGAAGTCACTTTAGAATAACAGTAATGTAAAGAAATTATGAGAATAACCTCTAAAGTTAAAACAAGAACCAAAGAAGCTAAATAATTACACACACAGACACAGACACACAAAACTTACAGTTTAGATGGGGAAACTCAACATAAATGTAAAAGGACCTTTCTCTTCGTAATATTACAAATATCTCTAAGAAACACACACAAACATATACAAGACTGTCTTCAAAAAGTACAAGGAAAATATGTATTATGAACATCTATGTGTGGATATTTTCTGCACCAAAATAAACTTATAAATTAATTTCATTTTTTCATAAACTTCTCACTTCTTTAAGTACCCAAGTTTACAAACACACACACCTCATTTTATACATATACATATATTTATTCCTATCTCTAATTATATTGATTCAGTATCAAGAAACAACTGACAGTATAACCAAACTACACAATTATTAAAGATTACTAGCATTCCCTATTTTCCTTCTCCTTCAAGAGTCATTTAAATATAAAAATAGCCATTTTAATCAATTTGCAAACAATTTTCACATTTTCAATCTATACTACCAAGGTTTAAAGAAAATCATAAGAACTTATTTAAATGTTAACTACAAAATGAGCAGTCTTGATTTTTTTAACAATAAGTCTATTTACTTTATTTCTGCTTAACTTTCCTAGTTGGTTATAACCTCTTCCAATCTGCAAGGGAAATTTAAAGTCCTTATTGCATAGGGACTATGGCAATCACTAACAGAGAAAAAATACAACTTGTTTAGGTGTCATAAGATCATAAGAGAAGAAAGTGTATTTCAAAAATATTCTTTAAACAAGAAACTCCTTGGCACAATTCAAAGATAGTTTTTAAAGATTAAAAAACTATAAAAATAAAAAACAAATTAGAAAAATATATGCTTATTACAAAATGAATCCTTATTTAACTTAAACAGCTTAAGGGCAACTTTTAGGAATTTTCTGCTTTTCTGCATAGCTCTTTTTCTCCAAAGAAGTCTAAAACTAGGCAAAAAAACTAAGTGAGTGTCAATTAGCTATAAATATGCCAGAAATCAAGAAAGTTAGCTCTTGCAAGGTTATAATAAGAAAAGCTTCCAATAAATTGATGAAAGAAGAATTACTCATATTTTGCTCAGTAGATATGGAAGCTACTGCATAATATTTCTTCCCCAACTGTCCTCCTGTAATTCAACTTTGCATACACTAACCCTGAAGATACCAGATACAAAGCAGCAATTACAGTTTGGTTCATAATTTTTTTAATTACCGATTCATTTACCAGTTCATTTCCTCAGCTGCTGTTTATTTAGTGACTTCTCTGTGCCAAGCTCTGTGTTAGGCATACCAACTTTAGCAAAAAATAATAAAAATGAGTGGTACATTTTTAAGATTTAAAGCATCTTTTAAAGTGGCTTCTTACTTAATGACAAAAAGAAAAAATGCTCAGTAAATATGCTGTACTTAATTCAAAACACTATATTTTTGAAATATTCCTACAGGTTGCAGAATTGAGATGGATGAGTGACTAGTAAGTCTAGTAGTAGATCTCATGTTGTCTCTTTGGAAAGAATGATATCCATAGAGAACATTAAAAACAAGGTTTACTATAAGCTGGAACTCGTCATTTATATGTCACCATTTCTGAATTCATAAAATCTTCCTCTTGACCTTTTCTTCAATTTGGAGTGGACAGATGTTTTCAAAAGGAGTTATTGGAATTCTGGAGTGGTAAAGTCTACAAAATTTGGAAAGACTGGCACAGAGTATAATACAGAGTGAAGTCTCACTACTTTTAACTGAGAAAGTCAAATCTAAAACTATAAAGAGTATCACAATGTCCTACACATCTCTTGTTAGAAAAGGTTTAATCATTAAGAAAAAAAAAAACTTCTTAAATTATGTTGGTACAAAAAATATAAAATCTTCTTAAAATCTTTTTGCTATCATCATTAAATTGTAAATTCCTAAATGAGTTTTCAATTTTATAGGAATGCTATCAGTTTTATGTACTTTTAAATGACAGTATTACAATCAAAAAGTATCTTTTTTATCATATTTGTTAAAAAAAAACTAGTTCATAAGCCTCATAAAAAAAGTCACAATGTATTACGCATTCCTAAAAGCTGAATACTTTCATAGGGAAAAAAAGAAGACATAAAATGTTTACAAAATAGACTGTAGAATATGTATATGACACCAAATTTTGAGTATGTGTGTTGAAAACCCTTGATTTGAGATTTAGTCAAGTTAATTAGAGTTTTGAGGGCAGATTTCCCTTGTTACAAAGGCATGGAAGAGAGACCATGCCATAGAGAATGACAATCTGAAGGAAAGTAAATATGATTGTTTACCGTAAGTGAAAGCTTGATGACAAATAAAAGTGAGAAGGCACAATGCTGCACTTAGTAACCAAGGTAAAGTACTCAAACTTTAAAACTTCATATAACAAGTATTTCTACTACAGTATAAGCTACAATATTCTTCAAAATTCTCACCAAAATTTGAGTATCTATAGCCTGTTCGTGAACCATCTGAATTGCTTTTGCCAGATCTTCATCACCTTCTGGAATACTAAAATTGTCATCTGTTATCTAGACCACAGAAAAAGAGAAGGTTAGGGAAGACTGAGAAAAAATGCACATTGTCTTATTTCAATTTAGAAAAAGTATTCTTGGCCAGCTGCAATAGAACAGTAATAATGTTTCACTCTATGAAGCTGAAGGCACATGGAAAGGTCTCAGGTTGTGTGACAAAGTCCTGTTTTTTATGCTAGGTATGGACATGGCTGGCTGAAGCTGGAGTATATTACTGCATGAAAACTGTTAGGAGTCTCTATCTTTCTCTCTGTCTGTCTCTTTCTGTCCCTCTCTAATGGAAGAAATAAACTTTTTTTAGAGAGATTTTTGCTATAGGGCACGCATGTTCACCAGAGAGACAGAGAGAGAGAGAGAAAGCAAGAAATCACCCCTCTGACGGTGAATGGCCACACCACAATCCCTTTTCCTCCATTCTCCTCTTGGGATTTGGATCCACACAAACACTCACCTGGCATGAGTTGCAAGCCACCAGGTCTGGGACTCGAATCATGGCCCGCCACGTGAGGGTTCAGCGACATAATCATTACACCATCCCAGAAATAAACTTTTTAAAAAATATTTTTTCACAAAAGATCAAAGAAACACACTTGTTGTAAACCACCATGACATTCTGAAGATCTATAAAAAATGGATAACTAACAAGCAGATAGCTTTTTGACTTCCTTGTAAACATCAGTCAATGTCACTTCCAATAAACTCAAGACTAGCTTATAGAAACTGTTTTTATCTATCATGGCAAATGTAGACAACAATTCTGCTGAACAAAATATTAGGCTAGCTAAATGTCACAACTCTCTCCCCATTCCAGGTGTTCTCTAACATTACTTATTCAGAACTACTAACAATTGCAAATATCTAGTTTATACATCAAAACAAAATAAAATCCAGTGGCTTTGAAACTCATGCCAGACCCATGTGGTCAAAATCCTGAGAGGAAAAAGAACTGTGGCATGGTCATCCCCCCTAGGGGTGATTTCTCACTTTCTGTCTCTCTGTCTCAGTGTCTCTGGCATGCACCCTGTAGCAAAATAATCTCAAAAAAAATTAAAAAAAAAATCCCTCACTACCTGAGTATTAAAATCTTAGGAGAATACAGTGGATTGTAATTATGATATTAAAGACAGTTAACACTTAAGTCGCATTTCTTACATGTGGATCACTGTTTTAAGAACTTTCCATTCATTAACTTATTTAATAACTTCATGGGATACATATTATCTCCATTTTATGTGCAGGAATAAAAAACCTGTCCTGTCTCTTGCCTACCTAGGCCACAAATTGCCAGGCTTGATTCCACACAATTTAATTGCATTTCTGTCATCTAGGAATGATTAAAGCCTCCAAGTCTCAGTAGTAATGATAGCTTTCACAATAAATGATGAATTAAAGAGCTTTAAGATAGAAATCACAGTAGACATAAGCAGAGTTAAGCTGGAAGGAAACACGAAGTCTGAGCTTCACTTGGGTAGTGGAAGAATCCCTGCCAGAGCAGACTGGAGTATAGGCAATACCTCCTCTACAGAGATGCCTGTCTATGGTAGGGATCCATAATGCAAAAAGGAACTGAATCTGAAGGACAATTAACAAGTAAACCAGAACCAGATAGATAATCCAATCTAAATGTTTTAATGGAATTTTCACATCCTACTCTTCACTAGTTGATAGGCAATAGAATCCAGTTGAATTTTCACAACCCACTCTTCACTAGCTGATAGGCAATAAATTCAGTTGAAAAATGAGTATCCCTTAAGGAGAAAAAAAAAGGCTTACATATTTAGGAAAATAAAATTAATATTTCATGGAAATGACTATAATAAATTTACAGAATATCTAAAATTAACAAATTACCTCTTCATATTCATAATCATCTTCAGATGCTTCAGTTATGGCAACTTCTGAATATCTTGTCAAGTTTCAATCTCCAAAAAGGGGATAAAATTATACCAAAAATTGATTTGACCATAAAACACCATTTTGAATCCAATTATGCTAAAAGGAAGTTGGCAAATAGATATCATTTATTTTTAAAATAATGTTCTTCCTCATTCAGTTTACAAATCTTAATGTTTTAAATGGAGTATTTCAGTTATTGTTTTACATACCTAAATTCATGAGGAACTACATTTCTGTCTGCCTAACTACTTACTTGATGGCTTCCAACTTGAAAAGAAGGCGTATGAAAATATGCATGGTGTCATAAAGTAATAAAGTAGCCAACAGGTGATGTGGTGATTATATTATTTATGGCCCTAAGCATATTTTTGTAAACCAGCAATGTGGTGATTAAGGCGCTGGTTTCCCACATGACTGACTTTGGTTCAAGCCCCAGACCTGGCAACTTGAGAATTACTCCAGGCATGTATGCATGTGTATGCATGTGTGCCAAAGATCACAAAGGGAAAATGGAGGAGAAGGGGGTTTGGGTATGATTTCTCACTTTCCCTCTCTCCATCAATCTCTCTCTCTCTCTCTCTCTCTCTCTCTCTCTCTCTCTCTCTCTTTCTCTGGCAAGCATATGCACCCTATGGCAAAAACCTTAAAACAAAACAAAACAAAAAGAGGGAAAAAAAGTAAGATTTTCAAATTTCTCCTAAATCACACTGAATTTTCCACAATTCCTGAGTCAATTATTCACAAACCATTTATTTGGTTTAAAGTACTGTGAATAAGCACACCAATATTTAAATATAAGTGAAAAACACACTTCATGTTTTCAACAATAAAACCTACTTAAGTCACTCCTTTTTAATGTATGTATCTCAATTTTTTAATTAAATTCTTTTTTATTGAAAGGAGGTCTATTTTAAGCAGTTGTAAGTTATACAGAAATCATGCTGAAGTAATTAAACATCAATGGAAATCATTATAACAAAAGAGAACTCTAAGAGCATCACCTTACCAAAAAGTTCAAGTTACTCTAATTACAAAGGAAAATTTTAAGATAATATTCTACATTAAAAGTAATTAGAACACACCCTAGCAATGCTTTTGCTGTTCTTGGTGGTGGTAGTAGTAGTAGGTTTACACTTTTTCAGTATTACTGACGGTTATGCAGTTTAAAAGAAATGACTTAAAACACTTTAATAGTAAGGTTATAAAATCAAAAATGGAAACCAGCAGATGGCATAATGGTTACATCACGGGATCTGGTGGTTTAAAACTTATGCCCAGTACATGTGTGCCCAAAATCCCAAGAGAAGGGATTGTGGTGTAGCCATCACCCCAGGGGTGATTTTCCACTTTCTACCTCTCTGTCTCTCTGGCAAGTACACGCGCCCTATAGCAAAAATCTCTCTAAAAAATTTTTTAAAAAATAGAAATCAAAGATGAAATTAGTTTTTTACTTTGCTTCTGGTTATAACATATTGTCTCTTTGAGGCCAGCAGGTGGTATGGTGGTTAAGGTGTTGGATCCCACATGGTCAACTCTATAGTTCAAGTCCTGGACCTGATGACCTGAAAAATACACCAGGAGTATGTGCATGTGTGCCCAAGATCCTGAGAAGAGAATGGAGGAGAAGAGATCAGGGACTGGCTCTCCCACCTAGGGGTTTCTCACTTTCCATATCTCCTTGTCTCTCTCTGATGAGCACACACACACTCTATGACAAAAACCTAAACAGACTCTCTTTTGACCCAGCCAAAATGATGTAGAGGTAGTAAAAAGCTCTGGAATACTGGAAGCCATATGGAAGATCAAGGCTTGATTCCTGGTTCAACTTGAACACACTAACTATACACATACATATGATCCGGCTAGCTGGGAAGGCTTCAGGGAGTGTTTTTTTTTTTTTTTTTTGGAGAGGTTTTCGCTATAGGGCGCGTGCGCTCGCCAGACAGACAGAGAGAGACATAGAGACAGAAAGCGAGAAATCACCCCCCAGGGGGGATGGTCACGCCGCAATCCCTTCTCCTCCATTCTCCTCTCGGGATCTTGGGCACGCACGCACACGCGCCCGGCGTGAGATTTAAGCCACCGGGTCCGAGACGCGAACCGCGGTCGACTATGTGGGAGTCCAGCGACATAGCCATTACGCTAACTGCTGGTTCCCAGGGAGTGTTGTTGACATGAGATCTAACAGGGGTGCTTATAACCTTCCTTCTCCATGAAAATAAATAAACTTAAAAAAAAATGTCTCTGTTGTTTTATCTTCCAAGAGTTAGCTAAAAATTACAATTTCCATTGCTTATAATGGGAATGAATAACACTTACATGGTATTTAATAGAAGCCAGACACTATTCTACAGATTTTCCATTTTATCCTCATCAGGATACAAGATTGAAACTATTCTTATCTCCATTTTATAAATTGGGAATCAGAATCACAAGTTCCACAGCCAAGACCTAAAGAAGCTGGGAATCCACCCTTGAAGTTCAGGTTCACTATGTTACAACTTCCCAAATTCTGTGAATTTCCATGACATATAAATACTTGAAATATTCACCAAAAATCTTTCATAGTTTCTAAACTTGCAAACATATTCCTATTATTCCACTCCAGCATAAGTAATTACTCTTCACTGTCTGCTTTATGTCATCATTTGTATGAGACATTTAAGCCTAGTTCAGTTATAATCAATTCTCAGATACAAGATACCTGTCAAAAGGCCAATAACTTAGGGTCAAACCTGAGTGTCCATCCCAACAAATGGTGAAAAGTAGTTAGGCTCAAAAATAACCAGTTATAAAAAAATAATAATAATAATTAGTTATGTGATAAAGCAACCACCACACAAAAACGTGGCACATTTAGGGGAACCAGCAGTTAGCGTAATGGCTATGTCGCTGGACTCCCATGTAGTCGACCGCGGTTCGTGTCCTGGACCCGGTGGCTTAAAACTCACACCGGGCGCATGTGCATGCGTGCCCAAGATCCCGAGAGGAGAATGGAGGAGAAGGGATTGCGGCGTGACCATCCCCCCTGGGGGGTGATTTCTCGCTTTCTGTCTCTATGTCTCTCTCTGTCTGTCTGGCGAGCGCACGCGCCCTACAGTGAAAATCTCTCAGAAAAAAAAAAAAAAGTGGCACATCTACAGACCACCTTATAACTTTAATTCATCAGTGTTAAGTAGGAGTAAAGTACCTATTTGTATTAGTTATATATTGCTGCAGAACAGTTTCCAATAGCAGGTGCCTCATTCTTTTTTTTTAATTATAATTAGTTAATTTTTTATATTTACATTTAATTACTGTACATCTTTACAGTGTACAGCATGGTTTTTCCATGGCAAGTACATGTGCCCTATAGCGAAAATTTCTCTAAAAAAAAAAATTAAAAAATAATTTTTCATTTTTGTGTCTATTAAATTCATTGTCCTTTGCTACCTTACCAGAAACTTACTAAAAGATTGCCAGGAAATGTACTAACAATTGGTTCAAGATATTTTATCTTACACTAAGACCCAAATTAATGTACTCCCAACATCTGCCCAATCCTCAGGTTGCAAAACCACTCTCACACTCTGAAATCTTTATGTAGTCCCAACTCCAAGTACCAAAATCCATATTTGCCATTTGCTGCTATATAACATACTTGCCAAAATTTAGGGTTTAAAAGAACAGTCAGCAAATCCTGCCAGCTGTGACAACATAGATGAACCTAGATGTTATACTAAGTAAAATAAGTCAGACACAGAAAGACAAACATTGCCATAATTTCACCGATATATGGAATCTACAAAAAGTCCAACTCATAGAAACAGACAGTAGAAGGATGTTTTGCAGGAGGTGGGGAGATAAGAGAAGTAGATTTTGGTTACAGGACACAAACTTTCCGTTCTAAGCTGAATTAATACTGGAAAGCTAATGTACAGTCTGGTGACTATAGTAATTAAAATGTGTCATTACTGAAAATTTGGAAAGAAAATGGATTTTAGGACTTCTTACCAGACTAAAATAGCAATAATAATAAACTGTATTAGGTATATATGTTAATTAACTTGATTGTGGTAATCACTTCAGAGTTTATATCAAAACATCATATCATATATCATGAATACATGCAATGTTGGGGAATTATATCTTAATAAAGCTTTTTGAGAGAGAGAGTAATTTTTGCCATAGGGTGAATAAGTTTCCTGGAGAGACAGAGAAACAGAAAGCAAAAAATCAGTGCCCAGGGGTATGGTCACACCACAATCCCTTCTCCTTCACTCTCATCTAGGGACTTTTTTGGGCATGTATGAACATGTTCAAGGCATGAGTTTTAAGCTGCTGGGTCCAGAACTTGAACCACAGTCAACTACATGGGAGTCCAGTGACGTAACCACTATGCCATCTGCTGGCCCCCTTAATAAAGCTTTTTATAAAGGCCTAATAACCATTTATTAGCTCCTACCTTCTGTGGGTCAAAAATTCAGTAGTGGAGGGGCTGGCAGGTGGCATTGTGGTGAAGGATGCTGGACTCCCACATGGCTGACCACAGTTCAAGTCCTGGACCTGGCAGTTTGCTTTCTCACTTTCCCTTTCTCTTTCTCTGGTCAAACTGAAAAATGATAATAATTAGATGAATAAATAAACAATTCTTTAAGAAAAAAAATTCAGTAGTGGAGGGGACCAGAAGATGACATAATGGTAATGTCACTAGAATCCCATGTAGTTGACTGCAGTTTAAAGCATGGACCTGGCAGCTTAAATGTCACACCAGGTGTGTGTGCATCTGTGCCCAAACTCTCAAAAGGAGAATGGAGAAGAAGGGATTGCCGCATGGCCATCCTCCCTGGGGTGGGGGTGACTTCTCACTTTCTGTCTATATGTCTCTCGAGCAATCGCATGTGCCCTATAGCAAAAATCTCTCAAAAAACTGTTTAAAAAAAAGAATTCAGTAATGGCTCAGCCAGAGGTTTTTTGGGTTTTTTGGGGGTTTTTTTTGGGGGGGGAGGTATCTCATAAGGTC